ATTCCGGTGCGTCATTGCCTTGACAAATTTGTGATTATTGGATCGTGTGAACTTCGATCATCACCTGACCGTCCAGGGCAACTTTTATTCTCGAATCGGATACACGACTCTGAGCCCAACGACGACCTACCCTTGGTCTCGTCCCCCTTTCACGATGTCTGCAGCAAAGAAGATCCAGAACAGGATATTCAGCCAGTCGACGACGAGTGGCTCGGAGCCCAACGCCCAGTCCATTGCCGACCAGGGCCTCACCATCGACATTCCAAAGCCCCCGACTGCTCCGGTCGCGCCTCAACCCTTGCCCAAGACCACCAAGCCTGCAAAGCCCGACGAGGTCTACGAGGAAGAGGATACGCGTTCGCACCGCCAGAAGATTCTCGATCTGCTTGGGACCTCCTATACCAGCGTCGAGCACTACCGCCTCGAGCAGGACGGACGCAAGGAACGCCACTGGAAGCGTTGGGGGCCGTATCTTGCCGAAAGGCAATGGGTATGTATTCCGTATTATCGAACTTCCTCATGCTAACCAAATTTAAGGCTACTGTCCGCGAGGACTACTCGGCAAATGGCGACGCCTGGGCTGCCTTTCCCCACTCTGCCGCTCGCTCACGTGCGTACCGTTGGGGCGAGGATGGCCTTGGGGGTATTAGCGACAACCACCAGCGCTTGTGCTTCGGCCTCGCTCTCTGGAACGGCGAGGATCCCTTCTTGAAGGAACGTCTGTTTGGCGTCACTGGCCACGAAGGCAACCATGGCGAAGACTGCAAAGAGCTCTATTATTACCTCGACTCTACCCCGACACACTCGTACATGAAGTTCTTATACAAGTACCCCCAGCGCAGATTCCCTTACGAAGAGCTTGTTCGAGAAAATATCAACCGTAGCCGCGACGTACCCGAATTCGAGCTCAACCACACCAGCGTTCTGGACGACGACCGCTACTGGGACGTCTTTATCGAATATGCCAAGGATGCCGACGATGCAGAGGCCATGTCTATTCGTATCACTGCTTACAATCGTGGACCAGACGCTGCCGACTTGCATATTATTCCCCAGATTTGGTTCCCTAATACGTGGTCCTGGACACTCGACCCACCTCCACGACCCCAGATGAACCTCGTCGCGCCCGGCACCGTCAGGATCGCCCACGACAAGCTTTCGTCCACTCGATACATGTACTGCATCCCTTCTCCCCCTCCCGTTGGCCCTATCGCGGATGGCGAAGATATTGTCGAGGTCGAGGGCGACGGAGTCTCTCCCGAAATGCTCTTTACCGAGAACGATACCAACTATGTCCGACTCTACGGAGGCGTCAATGCCGGCTCCTATGTCAAGGACGCGTTCCATGATCACATTGTCCCCGAGCACCGCCCGGTCATCGAGGAGGAGACTGGACTTGAGAAGAGCGAGGCCGAGATTCGTACAGAACGTGGCGATTGCGAAGAGGACTTTGCGCGTGAACCACTAACCCCTACCGCTCGTGGGCCCCCACGCCCATTCGACGAAAAGGGCGAGCGTCAGTTTGTTAACCCCGAGAACGAGGGTACCAAGTCTGGTGCACACTATGTCTTCAAGGCTGTTCCGCCGCGTGGAGGGTGCGCTGTTGTGCGTCTTAAGCTCACCCCGCATACCACGAACGACGACCCGTCGATCTGGGACGAGGAGCTCTTTGACGATAATGTCGACGCCAGGCGCGAGGACGCGGACGAGTTCTATGCGCGGCTTGCTTCTGGTTCCGGGGGTATCACCGATGACCTGAGGGCGATTATGCGTCAGGCTCTAGGAGGCATGATGTGGAGCAAGCAGTATTACAAGTTTATCCATAAGGAATGGGCCAACGGCGATCCAGCTCAGCCTCCCCCACCTCCGGAGCGAAAATGGGTTAGGAATAGGGAATGGAAGCATTTGCATATCGCGGACGTTCTCTCGTAAGTCCCCTCGACCTCGCGCCCTCTCACAACGCTAACAATAAATCGGGCTATAGTATGCCTGACAAGTGGGAGTACCCATTCTTTGCGGCATGGGACACCGCGTTCCATTGCATCCCGTTGGCGATGATCGACCCGGCGTTTGCCAAGAAACAGCTTGATTTGCTTACGCGCGAGTGGTACATGAAACCCGATGGTGCACTTCCGGCATACGAATGGAACTTCTCCGACGTAAATCCACCGGTACATGCCTGGTATGTGCCAATTAACGCATGTATGCGGGGAAACTCATGTGCCTTATCTCGCCCTTTACCACTACCCCTCGATCCGCCCTACCCTTGATTATGTTCTCGGCCCGCCCCAACTCAACTCGTCCCCGCCCTCGACTCTAACTCCACATCAACCCCACAGGGCCACGTTCCGCGTCTTCAAAATCGAGCGAAAGCTTACAGGCAACGAGGATCTCCAATTCCTTGAACGTGTCTTCCAGAAGCTATTGCTTAATTTCACGTGGTGGGTCAATCGCAAGGATGCAGGTGGAAACAACGTGTTCGAGGGCGGATTTTTGGGGCTCGATAACATCGGCGCTTTCAACCGGAGCGAGCCGCTACCGACCGGTGGTGTGTTGCGGCAAGCAGATGGGACGGCGTGGATGGCATTTTATTGCCTGAATATGTGAGTTTGGGTGGTGTCGGTCGCTGGAGCAAACTAAATCGAGTCTAGGTTGAATATGGCACTCGAGCTTGCCAAGCACAACAACGTGTACGAAGACATTGCAAGCAAGTTCTTCGAGGTATGTTCCCGATTTAGCGTCTATGCGTATCTAATATTTGTCAAGCATTTCATCTTCATCGCCGATGCCATGACCTACCGCGAGGGCGACCACGAGTTGTCGTTGTGGAATGAGGAGGAAGGTTTCTACTTTGACGCGATCCAATGGGGCGAGTCGCACTCGCAACAAATGCCCATTCGCTCGCTCGTCGGTTTGATCCCGTTGTATGCGACACTCGTACTCGAGCCAAGCGTCATCAACCGGTTCCCTGGTTTCAAGAAGCGCATGGAATGGTTCATCGACAACCGCCCGGAGATCTCTCAGAGGAACATGGCGAATATGAAGGGTAAGCATATATACGGTCCGATGTAGGACGAGGCTAAGTGTGATGCTTGACTAGCGCGCGGAAAGGGCGAGAGGAGGTTGTTGGCTCTAGCCAGCAAGGAGCGATTGGTCAAGATTCTCGAAAAGATGTTGGACGAGTCTGAATTCTTTAGCGATTATGGTATCCGCTCGTATGTCTGTCGACCTTTTCGATCGAAATTTTGCTGACCGAAACCTTAGCATGTCTTTGTACCACAAAGATCACCCATGGTCGATTAACGTCAACGGTCAGGACTTTGGTGTCGAGTACTGGCCTGGTGATTCGAGGTCCGGCATGTTTGGTGGAAACTCGAATTGGCGTGGTCCTATCTGGGTGAGTTTGATCCATAACTTGTTTGCAGTCGCTAACTAGTGCTCAGCTGGCGGTCAACTTTTTGCTGGTCGAGTCCCTCCAACGCTTCCACCAATACTACGGCAACGACCTTAAAGTCGAGTGCCCGACTGGTAGTGGCGATTATATGGATCTCGCCAAGGTCGCCGACGAGATCCAGCACCGGTTGATTCATATCTTTGGCCGTGATATGGACGGCCGTCGTGCTGCGAATGGAGGCGAGGACAAGCTCGACCACGACCCACACTTTAGGGACTATGTCTGGTTCCACGAGTTTTTCCATGGAGATGACGGGCGGGGCTTGGGAGCGTCGCATCAGACGGGATGGTGAGTTCTCGAGCCACATTGGAACCAAGACGCTGATACTTTGAGCTAGGACCGGGCTGGTTGCGTTCTCTATTATGCAGAGTGGGCTGTCGTGTCGCTTGCCTCGTACACCAAAGAGTGTGTTTATATGCGTCAATCCGCCGACACTTGGCTGATATTTATTTGATTCTAGCCCCTCGCAGCGTGGCTCGTCATTACTTTGACGTATGTTCTGACCTTGATGCGATTGAGCCTCGCACTGACCTATGTTTCAGGAACATATCGACACGGCGTCTGAAGCTGGCGACGTGCCATTCTCGGCCTATAGCGCTATGGATGCCAATACGCTTGGCGATGTCTCTCCCGAGGCGCTCTAAATTGAGGCTTGAAAACTTATTAACTGAATTAAATCTGGTTTTAGAGGTTGTGTTAGACTCGACGCTTCATGTGTTACCCGGGTTTTGTCGTCTACATGTTGTTTATGCATTTACTTGCCAATTTTGCTGCGACGAAAACTTATCACGATTGCATGGAGATGGTTTTAATAACTAGCAACCCCGCGTGACATACTACGAGGGTGTCTATGCGCCCCCGACCCTGGGCGAATGGGCGATCCAGGCTGTTTGGTGCCATATCTGGGCGGACGAATCGAAGGGAGACGAGAGTGCGGCGCCAAATGATACGAGTACAGGATCCACTTGCGTCGGACTGGTTGTAAAACGCGGCTAGCTGGTTGTGAGCGTTTTACCACTCCCGGTACCAACATCAAAAAAGTTCTCCGGTACGGGGAATCGAACCCCGAGCCGTCGCGTGAAAGGCGACAATGTTAGCCGTTACACCATACCGGATTACTAGATAGGGGCTACAAAGAATTCAGACCCACAAGTCATTTCAGCCCAAATTCAAGGCACATGGACGCATATCTCTTGTGTATCGTACATAGT